TAGTATGTAAGTTTAACCAAATTACTTAGAACATGTCTTTTGATCCTTGGTAATGGTTGCATACCAAGCGCAGTAATCTCCTGATGTTTGTTACTGGAGAGATTGGATCTTGGCAGTGCAGAATGGTGAGAAGGGGGAACCCTACATTTTTTTTTAAATAAAATACTTTCTAAAAAATATATTTTTATTGATTTCAGAGGAGAAGGGAGAGGGAGAGAAAGAGAAAAATACCAAAGATTAGAGAGAATCATTGATTGGGCTGGGGATCGAACCTACAACCCAGGCTTGTGCCCTGACTGGAAATCAAACCATGACCTCCTGGTTCATAAGTCAAAGCTCAACCACACTGAACTGCACTGGCCGGGTGGGAGCCCTAAATTTTTAGTTAGACAAAAGGACAAAATGTCCCCAAATTTCAGTCTTACCTCTTCCTAGCATTCTGACTTTGGACAAGTTATTTAGCCTCTCTGAATTTGTCTTCTCACTTAAAAAACGTGGATGGTCATGATGATGATAATGATACCACCAACCTCATAGGATTGTTGAAGTAAATGCAACAATGCCTTGCATTATAAACACAAATACATGTTCACTATTTATCGAGAGTGAAGTGATGGGTATAACTCATACTATTGTATCTTTTTTAATTCTTTGGGAAAACAGACATTTTTCTCAAGACCAAGATATATCCCACAGTAGGTCCTGAGAAATAAATGAGGTGTTAAGAATGCCAGTGCCCATGTTCTTGTCCCTTTTATAATTAAAAGTAAAAAAGCAAACTTTGTGTGGAAGTCCATCCAAGGCTCAATGACAGCCCAGCCCAAGGACCACTTGGCTAATTAGCACACTTGCATTGTCGGATTTCCTGACGCCCCGCTGCCGCTTGTTGTCAGGTCGTTGAAACTGCAGAAATTTGCCTCTGCAGGTGTGGAGCGCCTGCTTGAATTACTCAGGGCGCATGAGAGAGCAAATTATTTAGGCAATAGAGCTGAAAATATAGGCAAATGAGAATTTTTCATAGCAAGATTGTTCATTGTTAAGCCAATTCATGATTATCTGCGTGCTTCTTGCTTCAGATATTCCCCTACACAATAAACCTCTTTGCTGAGATGAATATGTATGTGGGCTAATTTAATCAATATACTTGTGACAGGAGTGGTGTCTGACAGAACTCATCCTTTGAAATGCTGGCTGAGTTAATGCGTGCAGTATATCTATGGGCCAAGACTCATAATTTGTGTTAAAAGAAGATTATTTTGAAAAGACACAAGACTGCCTGTTGGAAAATGGAAAAGCCTGAGGGATGGACAGCAAAGGGCAAGGGGTTTTTTTGCCTTTTCCCTCTTATTGGACTGAAAACTAAAATTTATGGAACTAAACTGCCTTCCTTTTGAAAAATTTGCAAGTCAATGACTACATTTTTTTTTTGTTCTCAGTGTTACTGTTGAATTCTGTAAATTGACTAAAAGGCGGAGGGGGCGGCTTTTGTGCATTGTTAGATTAAATGGGAGGCTGAGTGCCCTGCTCCAATCTGCAAATGTTTGCTTTCTGGAAATATCAACATGTGTGATCAGATCACATTCAGCGAGTTTACTCTTCGGAGCAGGTGTATTTCAGTCATTTCTTAAAGAGCACTTGTAACTGAAATTGTCTTCTGAGATAAGATTGCTCCCCAGGAGGTAGGCTAGTGGAATAGTTTGGTCGGACCAGCCAAAACCCCTGAACCTTGCTTTGGAGAACCTTCCCATTGCCATAATTACCACGAGCTTCCTAGTGAAGCTTGTTCTAACGAATTCTGATTCTTTGGCCCACATTGCCCACTGGAACTAAGCACAAACACAGTGGCTGACAGATGGCCTCCTGCTTGAAAATACAAGTCATCTACAGTGAGTATAGATGACTCACTGGCCTCCATAAATCTTGTGAAATATATCTTAGCTTGAGTGTCCTCCAGATCTGAAAGACCCTAGGCCAGTGATGGCGAACCTATGACAGGCGAACTCATTTTTTTGGTTGATTTTTCTTTGTTAAATGGCATTTAAATATATAAAATAAATATCAAAAATATAAATCTTTGTTTTACTATGGTTGCAAATATCAAAAAATTTCTATATGTGACACGGCACCAGAGTTAAGTTAGGGTTTTTCAAAATGCGGACACGCCGGGCTCCAAAGGTTCGCCATCACTGCCCTAGGCCCTAGGGCAGTGGTTCTCAACCTTGGCTGCACATCAGAATCACCTGGGAATCTTTTTAAAATCCTGATTTCTGGGCCTCAGGAGCTGAAACAAGACTGAAGACCAAGAGTTTGAGAGCCTAACCCAGGCTAACAAGGACCCACCCTCCTCCTAGCTAGACCATGAGCCATTCCAACGGTGAGAGTGCTGGACCAGAGTGGCACTCCCAGGACCACTCCTATCCCGAGCAGACCCCTCTGTATCACTGGCAGGATCACAGCAGCCATTAGCAGGCATTTTGATCATTGGCTTAAAGATCATCATTTCACTTCTGATGAGTAATCCACTAAGAATCCAGGCCCACTCAACAGAAATATGCCATTTTCCATTTGATCCAGGCACAGTTTTACTCAGTGTTCCCAATAGGTCCTGCCCAGGGTCTTCATCCTATATAATAAACAGGTAATATGCAAATGGTTGTTACGCCGTGATGTGTAATGACGGATCATCAGGAGGGCAGGGCAGCAAGCTACAAGCAGTAGAGAGCTATAGGAGGGCAGGGCAGTGAGCTACAAGTGGGGAGAGCTATGAGTGGCGATGGGCGGTGCGGAGAGCTGGGGCAAGCGGCAGCGAGCACCTCGCGCACGGGCCACTAGTAGCTTATAAAGGACTAACTAGATGTGTTGATCTCTCCATTGTTAAGATGGAATCAGGATAACGCTTGAAAAGCCTGTTTAGCACTAGTGCTGCTTTAATTGCATCAGATAATTTTGATGCTGACTTGAACCCACAGGGCCTAACCACGTTTGCCTATGTCTAATTTCTGTGAGTATAGATTGAGGTGAGACATTCGCAGAAGCAGCTTGGTGCCAGTCTTCTTTATTCCACGTATAAATTTTGTTTAATAGATGATCCAAGTACTTTGTGTTGCCTAATTATTCGATTCCTTAGGGGTCAGGGTCGGGGAGGCAGGTTCTCATTATAGGCTAGTTAATTCAGATGGGAAAACCCAGGCAATAACTCTCACCTGATATCACCTTTCAGCTACCCCTTGGCTTTTGTGAGTCCCTGAAAAACGTTGGGCGTTAGCTATCTCGTCTCCAGTTGCAGACAATCTGTAGCACAAAACTTTGCCTCGACTGTATTAGAATATTGGAGGGACCACAAATGTGAAACATTATTAGGTTTCAGATTTCATAGAGAATTTTCCTAGGTGCTAAGGATAAGGAGGCAGACTTGGAGGTGACCATTTTTGTTAAATGAAACCTTATAACGTATTAAGTTGTATAACTCACAAATAGACATATTTGACAGTGTACAAAGACAGTGTTATTGGGTTTTAGAAAGCTTCAGGATTATGGAAAATATATTGGACATGATATTTTGAACCATCTCTAACTCTGGACAATAAAACTCAGTATCTCAACACTAAAAGTGATTCATAGGAAAAGGACTCTCTGATTAGCTTGCACTCCCTGGTCAGTACTTGTACTAGTTCCCTTGAAAAGAAGTTAGCAGGCACACGTGCTTTATAATGAGGTTAAATCCAAGAATTTCATGTGTGCTGTCATTGTTGAATACAACATCACATGAAATTCAAAGTAAGTGTTGTGGAAATTATCCCAGGATATGGGATTACATTGGGAGAAAGAGTGGGCTGTGTGTAAATGTGTTACTTATATTGCGTAACTTACATCATTGCTTTGTGTAAGGCATGGGGCCAGATAGGAGCTATATGAAAATGAAATACACTTGGGCACTTGGCCTTTGTGTTTGTGTGTGTGTGACTTGTAGATAATCTGATATGATATCCAGTAATGAAAACCATGGAAAATAAACCTACCCTAATGGAACATTCCAGGTAGACTGGTGAACACTGCCATCCTGTATATACACCTCAGTGTGGGTCTCTTTTTTTTCATATACAAATTTTATTTCATAGTTGATCCAAGTACTTTGTCTTGCCTAATTATTTTATCCATAGGTTATTTTTTAATCCTTAATTATGCTATGTCCAGCTCTGCTCAAGATATAATGTGTTTGCTTAGAAATGTATGTTGTCATATTTGAGAACT